CCCTGGCTCCTCACGTATTGTTTGGCTGGGTCTCTAATGGCGGACGGGGAGGCAGCGCTGCCGGTCGCCGACTGCAGGGGGGGGCAAGTCTCGGGCCCAGGGCAAATGCTTGGGGCAAATGTGGCAGATTTCGGCCCGGCGGGGACGGGAGCCGCCCGTACCTTGCAATCGGTGCTGGGAGCGACGGCGGTGACGCCGGGTGGGCCGCTTTGGGGGAATACCGTCTCCTTGCTGGCGTCGAGGCAGCGTTTGCCCTGCCCCCGCTCGCTTCCCGGGAGCAGGCTCGGTGCCCTCCGCCTCCTCCCTCCAGATTCTGCCTTTCACGTGGGTTTTGGTCCCAAAGACATGTTTTACGCCGTTCCGCTCCGCTTTACGTACGAGAGGTGGTTGGTCTCGGGCTGGGCAGTGATAATAGAAAAGCCGAACCTCTTTGACCTCCCAGTCCCTTCTGTGCCCCCTCCCGGCGGGGCGGGCCTGGTCCTCCCACCTGGGTAGATTTGTTCCTGATCCGTTTCTCGTTTTTCCTCTTCCCCCAGGGCCGGGAGTCGCCTTCAACCCTGCGTGGTGCATCTTTGACAGAAAGTGAGGAGGAAAACACCCCCATTGTGAGTCCTTTGCCCCTAATTGGTTGCTCTTAGAGGACGTTGTCAGGTTGTAGGGGTTCAGCCAGGGGACTGGTCCGTCCCCGTTGTTTTCAGGGGGAGGAGCTTTCTCTGGGGTGGCAGCTGCCCCCTGGGGCCAAGCCCGGGTGATGGCTGGGGAGGCAGCTGGGAGTGGGCGCCGCCGCGAGCACCGCTGCAGACGTCGCTCCTGCTGCTGCAATACCAGCCTCAGCGACCAGACGACGGGCTCCTGCAGCTGCTCACGTTACCCGGGAGGAGGGTGCGGGGAGCAGGGCATATTTCTGGTGCCCTCTAGAGTTCCACAGTGGGAATTGAAGTTGTTTCCTTTTAAATGCGATGCGAGCAACCATCTTTAACATTTTTTTTCTACCTTCGCAATGGATAATTGATGGAAGGGATTGGAAAAATAGAAGGGAACCGTTTAACTTTTTGTTTGTGTCTGATTGCAAGCGCACATCCTGACTCTCAGGGCTGACGAGAGGGTCGATCTCTTCCATGTCTTCGCTTAGGAAAGGGCAGAAGTCTACTCTGGTGGTCCTTCTAGCTCACCGACCAGCGCGCTACTCACACCTGTCCGCTGCTCTGGTTACTCTGGGTTCCCATCTTCCGTGCTGATTGCTCTTCACTCGAGTCATTCTTAAGTGTGTTATCTGAGAGTTATCATTTACTGCTTGTAATTTGTTGGTTTTAAGCCAGTCTGGTAATGTACTAGACAGGAAGATTAACATAACCAGTGAAAATTCCCTCAGTTGCTATTAGTTACAAAATATCAGTGCCGTTAACACTGGACACATTGTATCTCTTGAGTCCATTGACAGTTGATACTATAACTTGTGGATCTCTGCCAGAGTCATGTCATTAGTGTAGTAGTTTATACTTAGATATTTAAGCCCCAAATGGGTCAAAAGACAGTGACTTGATAATGAATATTTGCCGAATATCGCTTATGAAGGATGACATGAAGATGGCAGCTTGTATAAGAGGGTACCACTCTGACACAGTGCAGGACACTCAACATGTATTATTTCCTTTAACCTTAGCCAGTAGCCTGCACGGTAATAAAAATAGCATGTACTGAGCCCCCACTGTATGCCAGCACAATTCTAAGCTGGATTTTTAAAAAAGTTTATTTAGAAACTTTGAAATTTATGAGTGAGAATCATCATCATGTGTCCAGACTAATTTTTAACATGTGTTAAGTAATTTAATCCTCATGAAAACCCAATGATACAGGTACTTTTTTTATCCTTGATTTGTAGAGGAAGAAACAGGCATAGGCAGGTTTGGCGAAGCAAATGATTTACACTTAAGCAGTTTGATTATAGTGCCTAAGTTCAGCGACTGTGCTATCCTGTTTTAAAGTGCATAATATGGTTGTTTTACAAATTTAGAAATTGAAACAGTGAAAAAAATCCAAGGTTAGAATCTTTTCAGCCTATATGTTCTTTTCCTAGAGAACAGCGTGTAAACAAATATAAAATGCTTGGCTCTTACCGAGTACCTTTAAAGAAAAAATAATAGAACCATAGGTATCAATTAGATTATTTTACTGACTTATTTCAAAACTAACAGGCCCTATTCGAATTAGAAATAATACATTCTCTTTTTCAGCGTGTCTGTATAATTTAGAGTCTATACTTTCCTATGTGCTGCACCTTGAATGAATATGACTTCTCTAATAGGTTCAAAGCTCTTTTTACACATTAGATCATTCGTATATAATGGATCAGATCTTTCAAACAGATGGGCAGTTTTTATTTTAACACCACGTATTTTCTGAAAAGATTGACCTTTATCAGATTTTTTCCCTTGGTTCTTAGTTGTGATGTTGATAAGGGGAAGTTTTTTAATTGGTTATGTGTAGTAGAAATTTAGAGATGAGGACATACAAAATGTATAATCAGGACATTTCTGTAGTGTCAACACATGTAAACTGATGAAAGCATGGTTCTTTCAAGTAATGCCGAAATGCGGTTCTTGTCTTGCTTAATAATTTAACTCGGAATTAAAAATTCCATTACTTAAAAATACCCGTTATTGATGCTTCAATGTGTTAGTAAGATGAAGGTAACTTGACAATTTTTAATTGACCTTACTAAAGTTCTTTATTATACTTACGTCTATTGTAAGTATACTTTATTATATTTATTACTATGAGTTAGGTGCTATTAGATATATTTAGGAACTATTTTGACAGTTAAAAATACTTTGCACATACCTGGCATCTTTCCTTAGTGCATCGTGAATAGTATGTGTCGCCCTCCTACCTGTCCTTTTAAACAGTTGGGGAAGAGATACAGGGTGGTCCTTACTTTTCCATGTTCTACTGTTGTATAATCTCATGGGCGGGACTTCTGGTGAGACAGCTCTGAGCCGCTCAGACATCACATCGATGCTGCTACGTGAATGTCTCATACTTTTGCGTGGATGTGGAGCTTGATACCCCACCTTTGTACACCAATGTTCACATTCTTAAAGTTTTGTTATATTTTGCCCTTGTTTGAGATAAAGTGAATCTTCAATCAGTTGCTGTGGTGTTAGTGTAATGAAAGAACATGTATGAAATTCTAGAGCTCTGTCGTCAAAAGGTGTGGAATAAGTAGAAATGTTAGATTTTTTTGTCTTTCTGGGGATTAACATCTGTCTCTGCCTCATTTAACAACGTCATTAACGTGTATGTTATTATGTCGAATAGCATTTATTACGAGAAGACTTTGTCATGTTCCACTTGCAGATTTTTTTCGGGACTGCAAGTGAGCCCAAGCAAAAGCATGTTCTGCCATTGGATTCTCTAACAGTATTTTATGTAGGGCATTTTAAGTCAGGAAACCAGTAGACAGATTGCTTTGCCTTCATACATTTCCCTTTTTTTTTTTTTTTAAATTCAGTTGGTTAATTTTCTTCTATTTCTGTCAGAGCATAGAATTGAGATTTTAGAATTGAACAGGACTTTGAACTATTCAAATCTAAAAGTTCTTATGCACAACTGCCATATGTAAAGATCTATAAAGTTGTCAATGAGAAAAACTGTTGTCGGATAAATCCATAATTTTGAACTATGGGGGCTCTGGGTAAAAGTCGTAGTTTATATTTTTTATTTTGATTGTGTACCAGCAAGAAAAACGTTTTACATAGTTGAAGTTGCAAATTTATATATCTGCAACATGTTTTTTAAACAAGTCACTTTGTTATCTTAGATTTCTTTTATTAAAATAGAGCTGGGAAGAAAATTATGAAGGCTAGCACCAAATACTTGCTAACGAGTTGGTGATTTTAAAGTGTGTTAAAATTTAGATTATAACATTTGTTATTTTATTGGATTTTTAAAAATATTATTGTTTTGGATCAAGTTTTACACAACACTTGAAGCACTTTGGAATGTGATTAATTGAATGAGACAAATTATTCAGTTCTTTTACTTTATAGCAATGCCATGTGTGTATTACTTTTGCTGTAGTTACGTACCTTGTCTGGGTTTATTTTTGTAAAAATCAGGAACTGAGTTTGTAAACCATTGAAAAATCTGTTTTCTCTAGAGATTAAAAAATGTGTAGAGCAGTTTGCAAAATCACTTGATCACATGACTATTTGGGATTTGTTCTAGTTCTATTTTAACTTTATAGCAGTCCATTGAAAATTGGAAGTAATAAAATTAAAGGGAAATTCATGGTCTTTGAAAGAGGGTATGATGGTTGGGGGTTTTATTTTTTCTGATTTGATCAATGTCCTGCAAGTATTAATGTTTATTATTTCAAGAAATGACTTGAGAGTAAACTTAGGTATTAGGGTAAATAGGTAATGAATAATTAATAGACTTGATTTAGAAAAACTTGTATATTTGTTTTATTGTTGCATGTTACCTTGTTTTCGTTTATCCTTCTTGAAGAGTTACCAAATTACTGTTAGAGAATTTCACCCATTTTCTTTGATGTTAATAGGTTGCCAAAGATTAAGTTTATCTTATTTCTCTAGAGATTCTAGATTTTTTTTCTTTATAGTGTTCCTTGTGAATTTGAAGTCAAATTTCTTTTTGTGAATTTAAAGTTTAAAGGTTAAAAAAATACACTTAAAACTAATACAATGTTATATGTCAATTATATTTCAATTTTAAAAAGTCTTAAAATATTTCGTTCTTATATTATTAAATGTTTAAGTATGATTCTGATATAAAAAGTTAATGTTAAATTGTAACTTTAAGATAAATTCACTAGAAATAGTATTGCAGCCTCATATTAAAAAAAATTTGCGAAAGATCTGTTTAATTCTTGCAGTAAATTTATTTCCTTCTAACCATTTAGGTTGGATAGGAAAAATACTTAAATGATTATTTTAAGTAAAATCATGATGCATGGTTAGAAGTTTCAGACAGAAGAGAGTTTGTAAAATGTGACTGATTCTGCAAGGCAAATTATTCAGTTTTTATACCATGTGGCAATGCCATGTGTGTATTACTTTTGCCGTAGCTACCTACATACCTTGTCTGGGTTTATTTTTGTAAGAATTTGGAACTGAAATTATGGTTTTCTAACCTAAAAACGCTTAAAGAAACATTTCTTGTAACGCTGGAACAGCGTCATCGTCATTCATTCCAGAGGCGTGTGTCGCCTATGAAGAGTGATGTTTCTGGGACCAGACAGGATAGTCCGGCTAATGGGTTGGGGCACTGCAGAAGGCATTGATTGATTCAGCCGGGGTGCGGCCCAGCACCTCTGCATATCGGGGAGTCCTAAGAGATGTGTTCTGCTCACACTTGGTCTGCAATCTCTTTGGCTCTGTCCAGGTGGGCATTTCATGTAGACTCCTAATGCTACAGCCCAGGACCCTAATTGGGAATTAGTAAGTTTTTGGTTAGGCCCAGTGATTATCAGATTAGTGAACTGCGTGCTTTCAGTTCTTTAGAACTAAGGTGTTAGATGGAAGTGAAAATTTAGGTTAAATGAAAATTTTATTTTATCCTTTTGTCTTAGATTTATATTATATTT